GGTTAACAACGTTTCGACCCTCTTGGAAGGCCTTTTTCAAGTCAATTAACAAGTGAACATTGAACAAAAATCGTGAAAGAAACCGTATCAATGGGAGATGCTTTTGATTGTTCTAGGGGAAGGAACAATTGAGTGATCACACACACACACACACACACACACACACACACACACACACACCAACTCAATGGTTCTCTCGTTGTAGCTAATCTAAACATTCCTACACGGATCTAATGGTACAATAATCTTTATGAAAAAGAAAGACGTTCCATGATTTGCATGTGGGTGGAATACTGCCAGGCCAAGGCAAGTGGATTTTCTTGAAAAATCCACCTCGGGAGCTTTTGGCTAGCCAAAGCCTGGCCCGCAAGGCAGCGGGGCGGTGTGTGGAAACCGCAATCCATTGGGAGCCGGTGCCCAGTTTATCGGATTATACGCCTTTTGGACGAGGTTAGATCTCCAAGGTGCCCAATACACCTCAATGCCCAATTGAGTCGGTGACCGTTGCCACAACCGAAAAGGTGTGGTTCGTACGCCTCCTCCTAGTTGGTTTTCGGCCAACTCCCCTAGGTGAACTACCAGCGGTCCAACAGCCCATTTATAGCCCCGGATATTGGCTTTTTGTCTTCTCACTTTGATAAAAAGCACCTCCGCCACGAGAAGGCAGTGAGTGGGGCTTCCTCAGTAAAGGCTATTCGAGACGCTTGGTCGTATGGGAGCATTTTGCGAGCTGCAAGGGAAAGGTGATCAACCGCAAACCTAGACACCCACCCCGACCATAGTGAGGCTTTTGGAGACACGGAGCCAGACGTCGGAGTACGATCGAGGCTAACACTTTGGTGACGATCGAGATTAAACTTATCACTCTGTGGTTTGAACAATCGTTGCGAGATCCTTTCTTGAAAATGGGAGCGATCAGTGATTCGCTCTAAGATAAAGGAATGCGCTATTGCGTCCAAATATTGCGCTGTACGGTAGTAATAGATCTTACGCTTGGTTATCACCCCCCGTCATCAGGAGAGTGGGAGGGAGCTCTTCTAGTCCTACTGCCTTTCCTTGCCTCAGACCAAGATCGAACTTCTGCTTCTGTTGGACAATCGCACAACACAGTCCACGAATTGACCTAGGTAACGGCAGGCCAGCTGAACTGTTCGCTGAAGTATTCCGACCAGCGATGAAGTCGTTAACCCCTATCGTGAATAGCTTGTCCACTCTTATCGCATACTGTTTCGCTAACTAAATTTCGCGCTTAGGTGTGTAATAGAAAATACTTCAACACATAAGCAATTACCCAGAAATGGTAAATGTGCCACATGTGAACATAAAATCTGTAGGATGTGTTCATAGGTTGTGTGGCCACGTTACTTCTCGGTTTCCCTGACTGAGAAAGGGGGAGAACCTCGGGGCTAGAAAGTCAAACCCGCAAGACAGCAGGACACAGAGCTCTGAGTCCACAGTCCATTGGGGCCAGTGTTCAGTTCATTGTATTATACGCCCTTTGGACGGGATCAAACGTTCAATGTGCCCACTATATCTTGACAGTTAAGTCGGGTCAAGTCACCCGAACAGTGAATTTTCAGCGATTTTCAGTGATGCCCAATCGAGCCGTTGGCCGCTGCCGCAACCACGAAGGTGTGTGGTTCGTGCGCCTCTTGTTGGTTAGTTTGGAATCAGGGTTTTTAGCCAACTTCCATAGGTGAACTGCCAGTGGTCCACCGACCCGGTTACAGATCCGGATGTTGGCTTTTCATCCTTTCACTTTGGTGGAAAAACACCACCACCGAAGCGCAGTGAGTAGGCCGTTGGAGACGCTTGGTCATATTGGAGTATTTCACGAGGTGTAAAGGAACGGTAACCAGTTACAACCCAATACAACCTCCCCGATCGTTCTGAGGCTTGGTGAGATTGAGTCTCATAGGTCCCGTTAGGCTCCTTGGATGGGGACCTCGAGATCATGGTTAACCAATGGTTAGGGACGCTGAGTGTCGCAAACGGTGGTCCTCGTGCATCTGCTTAATATTTTTGCAACCCAAGTTTATATGAATTCTCCTTGAATTTGCTCTCAGCGTTCCCATCTGCTCTTTTATCCCAATGGTGGCCAAGCGCCAGCAACCAAAACGGGTGCTCGAAAGTGCATAGGCTGAAACCGANGTTCTACGGCATGGTTTCATTTTTTTAACTGATGGGAAACGACAAAAACAGCTTATCAATTAACATCGATTGATAGGATTTAAAGACTTCTATATACTGTCTCCTCTCGATGAATTTCAATTTTTCATGTCTCTGTTTACCTTGATCATCCTTCATGTATAAGGACTTCATCAGCAAAAGGTAGTGTTCCCAGACTAGTACCTAGAAAATTCTTTAATTCATCAATTCATCTTGCTAAATCATCTGTGATAAATTGTCTATTTGTAATCGTATTCTTGTTTCTACACAGGAGCTCTGCGAGGTCATTGTATCTTTATTCTTGTAAACATGGGTTTGTTCAAGCTGGTGAAGAATCATCCCAAAAAGTCACTATTTGCTGTTGCTGCTGCTTCCTACTTTTTAAATTATGCGAACGAAAAATACAGGTGTGTTATTTACTTTGATCGTGTTACTGATCAACTTTCTCTTCGTCAGTGAAAATATTTTAAGGCGTCGCTTCTGTAATTCGGTCAAAGTAAGCTGTGCAAAGTTTTTTCTGATTATTTGTGTAGCCCAAGGGTTTGGAATTAGTCCCACCCACTGCGCAGCTTCGTCGCCTCACTGTTTTCCTCAATCCGTTCGCCAGGCATGGGTAATGATTTGTTAGTTTTTTTTGCATTATCGATGACGTTTTCGTTTTCAGTTCACTTCTCAAAGAATTCGAAAAGAATGTGGCACCATTGCTCCAATTGAGCGGTCTGGATGTCCAGATGGTCTACACCGATAATGACTTTGAAACAAAGGATTTCGTCCGTGTTCTTGACCCACAAAGTACGGATGGTATCTTAGTCGCCAGTGACGATCATGTACTTCAAAAGGTGACCGTTCTTTTTTCATCTTTGTTTCACTCTTCATGTGCATTTGTTCTAGGTTGTGACGGCGTTGCTTGAAAGGCCTGAACTCACAACCGGTCCTCGATTGATACCAGTGGGAATCGTACCCGTGGGTGTGTGGAACACGTTTGCTAGCACGGTGACCAGGCCCCGAGATCAACCTAGGTATGGTTAACTACATTCTTTATTGCTCCATTGGAATGAAGAGGCTGGTGGGAGAGGGGGGTGGAGTGAGGATGAATGACGGCCTTGTCTTCCGTAACCTGTAAGAATGTTTTTCCAAGTGCAGAGTACAGTGGTGGTAATGAAACATCTAACTCAAGTTAGACGGGTTGTTTTTGTTCTGGAAAACCGAAATGGGTCAATTAAGACAGTCTGCTGGTGGGGTGCACATTCCCATGGCTTCTTAAAAAATATTGAAACTCTTGTTCTCCGGGCCTTCTGAAACAACAGGAGATACTCAAACCCTGTCTGAAAGTTTCTGCGAAATGTTTATATACATATATCACTAACTTAAGAACAACTGTGGTACCAACGCGAAAAAAACTGAAATCGAGAAGGAAACTACCGGGTAGAAATAAAAGGACGAAGAGAAGGGTTTACGAAAACTAATGAAAAAAAGAACAGCTGTTGTTTTGTGTTACTGCTCACATTCCCCCCTTTTTCTCCATAGTCCACGGGATCCTAGCAGACTGTACAGCTCTCAACTGACGGATTTCTACTCCGGGCTATGGTTTTTTAAACTGAACTGAACTGAACTCTGGGCTATGTCTCTTATTATCACTAACCAACGGCAAAGCTTAGCAATCAGTACTCACTGTGAAAATTAGTTTAGTATTAACCGAAGCCGATACCTAAGCTTATTTTTCCATACCTCTAAGCCAGGTTATGCAATAACTGCCGCGCCCCTCTTATCCTCATCCAATTCTGTTCATTTCAGTTTTCACAAACACTAACCATGCATTTTCATGCGTCGGTTTTGGTTGCTGTCTTCCGACTGCCTATCGGGATAAAAGAGTTGAACTGAGATAGGAATGTTGAGAGTAGATTCAACAGGAATTTATGTAAAGTATTAAGTAGATGCATGAGCACCACTATTTGCGACACTCAGCCACATAAGCTTGGGGTCCCCATCCAGGTAGACTTAAGGGACTCAAATATCTGTCACTAGTCAGTGGGGCCTAGATACAACTCGGGAGTGTGACTGAAGGACCCGTGTGGGAGCTTCTAGAGACCTGTCACGCAAGGTCTTTGGGTTTCGGTTGAGTTTGTTGTTCGTTGGTGCGTTGGTTATCTGTCTGAGATTGGCCCTCAGTCTCATGCACCCAATGAGACAAGAGGAACGTGGACGGGATAGCACTTTATTTGCTGTGGTCTGCCCAGCTTGGGTGGGTGTTAGCAACCCAATGAAGTGCGAAGACTTCTCTCGTCGTCGGGATGAAGCCCTAGTTACCCTGCTCCTACGTTTATCTAGCGTTTTTCATCGGTTAGCTGCCTCTCCCCGTGTTTATTTCTGAAGTGACCTATCCAGGGGCGAGAGTGGATAAACAAAGGAAGCTAAGGCAAGTGGCCTTTCGAGATGGAGCTTTGTCTGGCCTCTACCGATTGATCTTTCAGGCATGATTGGATCTGCGACTGGGGAGCCATCCTGTATAGCTCACAGGTTCATGGAGGCACGCCGCACAGCACACCACGTTAAGGTGCAGTCTCATCCTGATGGTCATTCTCACCCAGCACATCCGAAAAGAACGTGGAGATTTAGATGACTGTCAGGTGTGTATTTCCCAGACGCCTGAGTTCAAACTGTTTGCCAAATCAAATCATAGTACAATATTTTTTAAACAAGCGAATACTACCGGGTTGCCCAGACCAAGATAGGTACGCACAAACGACTGAACCATCGAAAGTAATATAGTATGATTTCCTCCGCAAGACGGCAATTATTTGGATTACTCGTCCAGTATCCTGACACGAGCACCACTTCAATTAAGCCGGTGGTGACATACAGAAAATCGATTGGAATTCTCATTACGGAAGTGTAAGATAGTATGAACCCTGAAGAGGTACACTTCTCAATTCCGGGGTAGTCGAATTTTTCTAGGCGATGCCCGCAGATACCACAGGTTGGTCCACGCTGAATAATCTTTCACTAGTCTTGATGTAATCCCTTCCCCAGCACC